TGCTATTGCTATTGCTATTGCTATTGCTAATTAAAATCCCCCATCACTATTGTGGTGTGCTTCCTACATACCTTAGTTAGTTGACTATCAAAAAAGTTCATCTACTTCCTCTGCTTGGTTGGGTGGCCTGTCGTATAGACCAATGGCAATGTCATTCCCCCCCCAACCTTTAATATTGACCCAAATGCATTCAAGATAGTTCTCATCATTGTTGTGCTCTATTTCTGTAGAGATGTAGTTATTTCTTATATATAGTGCAACTCCATCTCCTCCTTTATTTGGTCTATTTCTTTTAAATAATTTAAATCCTTAAATAATACACTTGATCAATGTAATTTTCATCAACCACTCTAATTAAACAGCTTTCCCAAAGGGGGAGAAAAAAGGTTTTGAACTCTGCAAACCTCCCCAAAACGGCCCGTTTTCCACAAAAATGCCCCCCCCTTTTTTAAAAGGCATGAATAGCCTTGGGGGGGCTTCCAGAGTGCTCCTGTGGGGGCAAAAATGAGCAAAAAATGGCCCATTTTTTGTGAAAACAGCCTATTTTTTGTCAAAAAAATTGCATGCATAGCCTTATGGAGGTTTATAGAGTGCTGCTGGGGGCTGGGAAACAGTCCGGTTTTTGCTCATTTCTGCCCTCCCCAGCCCCCAGGAGCTGTGTGAAAGCCTCCATAAGGCTATGCACGACCATTTTGGTGAAGGGGAGGGGCTTCAGGAGGAAAAAATGCTGTATTCGGTGTATAAGGCGCACCCAGATTTTCAGCCTCTTTTTAGAGGAAAAATGGTGTGTCTTATACTCCAAAAAATATGGTATTTTCCCAAACAAGAAAAAAAATCATCCTATATTTCCTAATAGCAATCTTAGATTGCCAATTTATTTAGCAAGTTACTTACAACACTGGTAACATACAGACGTTTCACTAAATTTTGCCACAAACATATATAATATGCCTTATATAAAGTAGGTAATATCATGCTTTTCTTATACCGTAACAAAATAACTTTCTCATTTTCCTCCAAAAATAATGATTAATCTTACTCAGTCACACTGACCTACTCATCAAATTGGAACAATGTTTATTTTTATTAAAACCTTCATTAATGCTACAACCATTAAAAAAATACACTTTAAAATATTATACTGAATATCTATGTTGGAGAGAGAATGGCTGAGCCAGGTGGAGGAGTTAAATGGGGAATTAGTCTGAAATCCCTATGTGGGCACAAGATGGCGAAATCTGACCCATCTTGAGTGCCACTGAACATTAATTTTACTCAGGTGCAAACTGTTAATCTGAGAAGATTCCTGTACATGGATTTCAGCAATAAAGCAGCTAATGGAACCCTTGTGTGGCTCTAGTTGTTCATACCTAACATTATTACAGATAGTCCTCAACTTACCATCACTTGTTCTACTACTATTCAAAGTTATCGCTGATCCTATGTAGTGTAATGGTCATGTGATCACAATTCATGTGCTTGGTATTTCACACGTATTCATCACGGTTGCAGCATCCTGGGGTCACATGATCACCGTTTACAACTATCCCAACGGGCTTCCAACAACCAAAGTCAATGAAGGAAGTCAAATTCATTTAATGACCATGGTGATATACTTGATAACGATGACAAAAAAGGCCATAAAACTGGGCATGATTGACTTAAGTAGCAATGGGAGTTCGGATCCCAACTATAGTTGTAAGTCAAGGACTACCTGTATGTTATTTTAAAAGATGGGGTATTTTGATCTTTTCCTAAAAATGATTTTAAAAATCTTACCTTACTGTCAAGATTTTTCATTGTTAACAAATCAAGAGTTTTAAGGGAATGCCCCGTGGGTGAAATGAAATACAGGCACACATGGATGCGAGTATCATGATAATTATATAAGGAACGCTTAATTTTCAGCTCTTCCTGGAGGTAGGCCTCAAATTGTGCATCGATATAATCGACAATTGGCTGATAACTAGAGAGAGAAAAAATCAGTTTTAGAACAAGGAGTTAAATACCATGCCAATATGCCTGCTCAAACTGGAGAGGATAACAATAATTTTAACAATTCTATTCTATTTTTATAAAATTTTACTACCTATTAATAACTCAGAATATTGTAAGCTATATCAATTGTCTTTTTGAAACAATCTGTGGAGTTCAAGATCTTGTAAAACAGTCTCTGATACTTAGACATGGTTGAACAGAAAAAAGAAATGCATGCAAATATAATCTAATTCTGTCCAAGGACACAAAACATTTTCTAACTATGCAACAAATCTATATCTAAAACAGCTTTTAAAAATATAATTCAGCAGTCTTTATTCTTTTCAGAATCATTTAATATTCCAGCAAAACTCATCACATTGTGTTATAAAATCAAAACTATAGAGCCATTTCCTATGTATGTTAGAAAAAAACCCAAGAAGATTTTTAAATTTTAATTTAGAACAAACTAAACTGTGAAGTGGGACGTGGTGGCTCAGTGGCTAAGACTGACCTTGTCAGCCTTCCTTTTTTAATTCGTTCTGTCTTATATTTTAAAATTTTAATATCTTCTCTTTTGAACTGTTTTTATGTAAGCCGCCTGGAGTCCTCCGGGATTGGGCAGCATACAAATCTATTAAAATTGACAAATTGAATTGGCTGACCTTGTCGATCAGAAGGTTGGCATTTCAGAAGTTTGAATTTCTAGCACCGCATAACAGAGCGAGCTCCCGTTACTTGTCCCAGCTTCTGCCAACCTAGCAGTTGAAAGCATGTTAAAAAATGCAAGTAGAAAAATAGGGACCACATTGGTAGGAAGGTAACAGCACTCTGTGTGCTTCGGCGTTTAGTCATGCCAGCCACATGAACAAGGAGACTTCTTTGGACAGCACTGGCTCTTCAGCTTAGAAACGGAGATGAGCACCACCCCTAGAGCTGAAAACGACTAGCACGCATGTGCAGGGGAATCTTTATCTTTACCTTAAATTGTGAAGTCCTAAAGCAGAGTCAACTTTAATCTTATGGATGTTACTTTTTCCTATTATTGTCCATTATGCAGACTGCATAACTTATTCCACTCACTTTACAATGGAAGGGTAGGACACAAGAATACTAATCCAAACACTATTACTTAGTATTGAGAAGCCTAGCAAACCAACCCATTCAACATAGTTGAACAAGAAGGAACATAATTGCCAACTATAAGCAACCATTTGGAAATGATTACTAGTGGCTTTATTAGATGTTATGCTTTATTGATATACAAGGTTATATTTGTTCTATTATATAAAATAAATGCCAAGAATCTAGATCAGTAGCAGCAGGCAGCTCGTTTGAATTAAGAGATACTAACCTATCATCTTTGTTTATCTGGTCCCCAAATCCAACTGTATTTACAATTGTCAGCTTCAATCGGACATTGCTTTCTTGAAGCTCATAAGTCTGAGCTTTAAGCCTCACATTTGGCTGAAAGTGTGTTGACACATGATCATCGAAAGAGGTATTGAACAATGTATCAATCAAAGTTGATTTTCCAATCCCCGTCTCTCCTAAAATTAAAGAGATTTTAAAAGTACAGTTATATCACAGATGCACTTGCATAAATGTCACTAAAACACAAAAAGAAAAATTTCATTTCTACCATTTAAAAGTAATAGAGTGAGTTTTGTTATAACTTTATTAGGGATATAATTAGAAATGACTTTCCTTTTGTAATTTTTATAGTAACATCTGAACAATATGTAAAAGCATTTTTCAAAAAGACAACAGGTGCCCATTCATTCACTCTGCAACCTGCAAGAACTGTTGCTTCTCATCAAGTCTTTATTTCCTTCTGTCTTCCACTGTCACTTCCATATCACTGATTTCATTTCAGTGTTTCTTTTTACTCTATTGGAACCGTATCCAAGAAACTGAAACCAAAGTGCTGAGTTTTCAGAAGATGGCCTCTAACATGCTATCAGTTAAAAAAAATCCATCTCATTCAACTCTCTTCAAATATTGTCTTCATAAGTTACTAGCACACATGGCTTTCACTTCTCAGTTATTCTCACATCAATCCTCTAAAATACAGTAAGCTGAGACACAATAACTGAACCAAACAATGAGCTCATAATGACTGATATGGGATGAAATATCCATCTTTAATCAGTCATATGTACAAGTGGTACTTGACTTATGATGATAATTGAGACAAGAATTTTCACTGTATGTCATTGTGGTCATAAGTCAGGTTGAACATAATTTTACAAAATTTTAATGGTGGTTGCTAAGAAAATTCAATTTTTGTCAGAAACTGGCAAAAAAAGATGCAAATCATGGTTATGTGACTGCAGGTTGCGGGAACCAGTCTAAATAAGTTGTCAAGTGCACAAATTGCAACTGTGTGACCATGGCAGTGATACATCGGTCGCAAGTGCAAGTGCAAGTCTTAAGTGACTTTTTCCAAGTGGTAACTTTGAACCATTGGTAAACAATCATAAGTTGAGGACTATCTATTAAACTATTTTGTTCAATTTGTAATAGCATACTTTTTATTATAATTAGACTTATAGCCTATTCTGCTTCAGATGAGGTTCTGACTTTAAAAACAAACAATAATATTTATTAAAACTTTTATTTGCAAATTACTCACTAAGTTCTTTTAACCCTGATAAGTATTTCTTGAAAATAGGTGGAAAATGTTTAGAAATGCTCTGTAGGAAAAATGGAATAGCATTTTCATTAAATAAATACAAAGGCCCTAAAAGCTATTTTTTACTGTCAAAATAAACCAATGTAGAATTATTGCTAATCATAAAAAAACACTATATTTTGTAATGTTTGTGAAGCTTAAAGCGCGGAAACAGTTAAGGAATATAAAGTACTTAAGGAATTAAATGTATTTAATTAAACAGATTAAGGAATTTACTGTAAAAAGGTAAAGAAACTTAGTTATGTCACCTTTGAACAATATCCAGAGGTCAACATTAATATCTTTGTCATTTTCATTACTTCAGGCTTTTCAACATGACCTGTTTAAATTAATTTACACTTTTGAAAGTTAAATTACTTACCAATACTGAGAATGTTGAAGCAAAATCCCTGATGGATAGATTTGTTAACCAATTGATCTGGTAAACTATCAAAACCAACATGTCCAGACAAGAATAAGGATCGACAATTCTGCTGAAGTGAAACAGTAAAAAATATTAGGGCATAAGACTGCAATGTAATATCTATGATACTAGTAAATTTTGATAAATCTAAATAGGATAATATTTTACATATTAAAATTTTTCACTAGGTGACATTTGGTTTGGTTTTTTCAACCAAATAAAAATCACTATGGGCTATTAATCTGCAGACAAAATTTAAAAACCTTCTTGACTGTTACTAATCTGTTACACAACCATAAGTTATTCTTCCTTTATTACAATACTTCCAAGGTATTTACTAAAGAGTAATCATTTCCAGTTCTTAAATAAATATTGGTAAATACCAATAAGCTTAACACCAAAGAAAATGAATGTTTAGATTCCTATCATTCTATTCCTCCCTTTTTATATGTCATTTCTTCTCCTCAACCCCTTTTCCATGTTTTTTGCTTAATTCCATGTTTTTTGCTTAAAACACTTCTTTTTATTAATCCCTTCAGAAGTTTTCTGCTTTCTTCGGTTTCCTATTCCTTCCTTCTTGTAAGCTTGTGCATCCTTTTTGATGCTTCTGTTACCAAATCACCTGGCCTTTCATTTGCAGAGCTTCAATACAGGCTGCAAGTACAGCAAATTAAAAAAAGAAATGCCACTCTCCCTCCCCCCCACACACACAAAATTGGGTTGCCTTGCACTTGTTCCCTATGGAATGCAGTGCTGATTCTATCAGCAAGCTTAATATATAACCACAACATATGTATATACACATCTTTAAACTTCAACCAACATGCATCTGAAAAAACAGAGGTGGTCATTTTTTTTCATAACATAAGCACCACATTTATAGACACCCATACAAATCTATGATGATGTCTAGCTATTATTAAATGTTTGTTTACAAGAGTCCTCAATATTGATTGACAACTAATCCTTCCCAGGTCAGTAAAATGAGGAGCCAGATTGTTGGTGGCAATAGGCCGACTCTGTAAACTGCTTAGAGAAGGCTGTAAAGCACTGTGAAGCAGTATACAAGTCTAAGTGCTATTGCTAATTCACAGACCTGAGCTATTTGAAGTATTCTGACACTACAAAAGATTTTGGAGAAACAGAAGAGGCATAAAGTCTAGCAAAACTTCAATTTGCCTTGAAACTGAAAATAAGAAAAAAGTCACATTTTCTATCGCTTAGTCATGTGTATATACTGAGAATTCCAGAGACTTCTGATATTTTATTTCCCATGATCAGCACTGTTGAGAAGTTCTTAGTTCTGAGACATTTTTAGTTAGTCACACAACTTTTATGTTGCTCCAGTTCTGGAGACTCTGAGCATCTTGCAATATTAATGTCATAACAAGATATCCTTGACAGCTTGAATCCAAATTCTGAAATATACTCTTGAATAGGTTTCTGGTCATTCCTTAGCATAGCCAAAGGTACTCAATAAAATCACAAGCATTATGATATTTATTTTGATCTTTAGTATTTAAAATAATGAAATGTCTTCATTAAGCCACCCATACCAATGTCTCCTTACATAATAAATCCAAGGTATGTATAGCTGCAGTGGCGCAGTGGTTAGAGTGCAGTACTGCAGGCAACATCTGCTGACTGCTGGCTGCCTGCAATTTGGCCGTTTGAATCTCACTTGACTCAACCTCCCATCCTTCCAAGGTGAGTAAAATGAGGACCCAGATGGTGGGGGGCAATATGCTGACTCTCTAAACTGCTTAGAGAGGGCTGTAAAGCACTATAAAGTGGTATATAAGTCTAAGTGCTATTGCTATATCCCTTAGAACAGATTTATTTTTTCTGCAACTGTGTGTCTTCAAGTGGCAAACAGTTCATTCATACATATGCATACTGCACCTGTGCAAAAGCCTTATTGGAGATATTCCACAACTGAGGAAATTTGGAGCAAGAACTCCATCTTACCATGGATGCCTAAGATAATGTTCCCTCTTTTTCTTCCATTCTAAAGGACTGACAGTCACCATTAACAGGTTACTCAGTAAAGAAAGTGCATTAAAGGGGAAAGAGAATAAAACTGTGTGAATGCACATATGAGTGTTCTAGGAATCATAGCTACAAGTAAGCTTCCTACTCTTTGTCACTACAGGTTAAGTAGCAAGCTGACTTTAGGGCAGCAGACAAATGCCCAAGTAAGAGAGAACTGATGACAGCAGTGCTCTCCCAAAGAAAGTATATTTCTAGACCAAAACATCTATTAATAATGCTATGCAAGTATCTGTCAGCGACACCAGAGTACAGCATAACCTTGCACACTTTGAGAAGTGCAGTCCTATGAAACACAGTCCTAAAAACTGGAACTGCTCTGGTGAAATGGCTTTAAACAACACTTGGCAGCAAGAGATTTATCAACTGATATCCTCTACGAATAGCCACTATCACCACTTTGAGAAATGTCTTCTTTGGAGCCAGAATAAACAGGCAATTGTTCAGAATGCTCTACAAATACCCAAGAATGCTCTGATTATGTAGATGGTAAGGTGGGGGAGGGGAGGAACCTATATAATGCTGTGATAAATTTGCAGACATTTAAGCTGCCTGGGACAAGATGGGACTGGACGGGAAAGGGAAGGCATTCTAGTCCCTCCTTAGCCATGGAAGTCAGCTGGGTGTCCTTGGGCCAGTCACTCTCTTTCAGCCCACCCCACAAGATCATCATTATAGGGAAAATAGGATGAAGGTGTATTAGATATGTTCTCCACTTTATTATTTGTAAAAATAATAAAGGTGAGATACAGATAAATGGAATGGAACAGAAGGGAACGGAACAGAATGGACAGAACAGAACAACTCACTTTTCTTGCATCATGATTATCTGCTGGTGAAGTAAAGGGTCCTTTCATTCCAATATTAGGTTGATAGTACTGAAACAGTAAATAAAATAATTTTGGGACAGTCAAATTAAAGAAATTTGAAAAAGAAATAATTCTGATCATAATGGGAAAGCTATAGAGAATAAGGGAGATGGGGAAAACCAATACATAAAAAAATGAAGACTGAAATATTCCTCAAGTTTGGGAACTAAGTCAATATTTGGAAAATAGTTAGGCAAGCTCCTCCACGGGAATATGAGAGGGAGGAGAGATCAACACAATCAGACTTGCTCAAGATACTGTTATTAATAGCCAATCTTAATAAGGTGTAGTTCTAATCACTTCAGTGATTAGTTGGTTTCTTGATCTGGCCAACATCAAAGGGCTGACATAAATACATTAAAAGGGATAACTTTTTGGTTAAATTACAAGTATTTCAATTAAATACACTGATTAATTAAGCAGTATTGTAGAAAACATTGTAATATGGAGCCCCGATGGTCCAGTGGTTAGAATGCAGTACTGCAGGCTAACTCACTACACATTCCAGGAGTTCGATCCTGACCAGCTCAAGGTTGACTCAACCTTCCACCCTTCTGAGGTTGGTAAAATGAGGACCCAGATTGTTGGGGCAATATGCTGACGTTGTAAACAGCTCAGAGAGTGCTGTAAATCACTATGAAGCGGTATTTAAGTTTAATTACTATTGCTATTGCTATTGGGCAACTCAGCCTGCAAGCAGACATTTCCCCGCCACTTAATAGACCTTATCTATTGCTTATCTAATTATAAGAAAATAAATAAAATTGCATTAAACAAGAAGGTAATATGCTTCAAGGTAAAGTACGAGCCTCTGGTGTCTGCTTCCATGAATGTATCTGAGCCTACCCAGCCACTGTTATTAAATAAAACTGGTAAATGGTTCAGCACCATATTTGGAACTTGTCCTAAAAAAAAAGCAAAGGTAGGCTGAACTGCAAATATTTTAGGGAATAACCTCATCGGTATGTGATTTGTGAATAGACATGTCCCTCACAGTAATAGTTTTTGAAACTACCTCCAACATATTCTTAAAATTTCAATGTTCCTACCAATCCTCCCATTCAAGGTTATGCACACTTCCATAAAAGCAACAACAGTTTTAAAAAAGCATATCAATTTTCCTGGGAATAAAGAAACTGGCTTCACTTCTGGTTTGACACCCTAAGATTGCACCAAACTATCCTTTCTCAAACTATATATTCAGCATAAAGAAACGTTCCTTGACTGTTCTATAGAAATATACTACAGAGCAGGGACGTGCAGTCAGGGGAGGCAGGGGAGGCGGGGCCTCACCAGTGTCATGAAAAGGAAGAAAAGAAAAGAAAAAATAAAAGGAAAAAGGCTAAGGTAGTGGCTGACAGAGTCACAGTAGATGTCTCTGCTTAGTGCTTACCTGCAAGGGGAGGAAAGAGAACTACGGGCCTCCTTTACT